AGGAGATGCTTTCTTGTCTCTCTTTGGTAAATCCATAACACAGCGTTCTGAAAAATTTAGAAGCAGCTTAAATAGCTTAATATACACTCTAAAATCATTAATAATATTTTTGTTAATATTATCATCAGTTTTTACAATTTCTACATCATCAGTCCTTTTTGTCGCTATGTTGCCGACATGTACAGCAATATTTCCTGATGCATCTCATTAATCCAGGTATAATACAGACCAGTATTTGCGTTTTGACTCCCATCACCCACTGGAACATAAGTTATGAGTCATCAGAACTCTGTACCACAGAGCAGACAGTGTCCCAGGAGGCAGGGAGAAGGAGAGGTCGCAGGCCTTGGAGCAGTGCAGCTATCCTAACTCGGCTTTCCTGAAAGCAGACAAGAAACCCAAACAGGATTCCAGCCAACAACCAGGTGAAAATGAAGACCCTAAACCCAGACCCAAACCAGTGGTTATTGCGTATGTTGCAAGTGTTTCAGAGAAACTGAGACGCTTATTCTCTAAACATCACATCCCAGTGGCTTTCAAACATCAAAACACTTTACGGCAAAGATTGGTTCACCCCAAAGATCCGGTCCCTCGTGTATGCTGTTAAGTGTCAGGAGGACTGTGCACAGACGAGCAACATCTACAGGCCAGGACTCTGCAGTTTACACTCATCTACAGGCCAGGACTTTGCAGTTTACACTCATCTACAGGCCAGGACTTTGCAGTTTACACTCACCTACAGGCCAGGACTCTGCAGTTTACACTCATCTACAGGCCAGGACTCTGCAGTTTACACTCATCTACAGGCTAGTGGTCACTCTTTCAGGGATGAAGATGTTCTCATCCTTGATAGAGAGGAACGCTGGTTTGAGAGAGGAGTAAAGGAAGCCATCTTTGTGAAGAAAAACCGTCCACCATTAAACAGAAGTGAAGGCCTTCGTGTCCAGTTGTCCTCCTCCTACAATGCTGTTATTGCAAGTATGACTCAAGCTGGAAACATACTCGCTCCGACGCCGACGGGTCGACACGCGGTCACGTGGTTGTTCAGCAGTCGTTTTCACATAGACTTTTCATAGCTCTAGAGACACATCGCGCCGAGCTCCTGGGAAACTCCACCTGCTTCAACATACGTCACTGCATGGAGATTCTCCCCACTACAGATGCCAATGCAGAAAAAAAAGTCAGACTCAACACTCACCCGACGTATTTATTCCCATCTGTCCTGGTTAAAGTGCCACAGTTTTTATCAGTCAGATTCCTCCGTGCACAACGTCTGTTTAATCTCTATTCATGAGTTTTTCACGGTTTGACTATCTTTATAAAACTCAACAGTCGGCTCTGGGAGCGGGTCACTTTTTCTTTTTTTTTCTTTTTTCTACCGAGTGGTTGAAGTAAATGCAGCATCCGAGTGCTTTCAGCAAAAACAAACACGCCCACGAACTTCAGACCAATCACACATTAGCTACTGTCATCGCGGGATGGTGTAGAAACTTCTGCCGGCGGGTTGTGCCAAAAGGGGTGGCCGAGCCGACGCTGCAAAGCCCTGTGACATAATTTTCATCATGAAACTGCGACAACCTGTGCTGATGTCGGCAGTTCGGATGGAGAATGTTTCCAGCTTTAGCCCCCTGTGAGTAAAAAGTGTGAATCAGGGACCCAACGACAGTCAGGTGATAGGGCACATGACCCTCTATGAACAATAGAGCTAATCAAGGCACTAAGGACCTATTGTTTGGCTGATGGCCCTCTTTTGTATATGATTAACCTGTTTGTCCACCATGTGGAGGCAGGGCTTATAATGGTACGTTCACACCGAATGCGTTTTGAGCGGCAGGAGCGGCCGATTTACATGCAAAGTCTATGAGGACGTGCCTCCAGAGGTCGTGCGTCGTGTCACGTACGTTTTGGGCGGCACGCAAGGAAGGCGGAAGGGGCGCGGAGCGTTTTCCGCGCATGTGGTCCTGCGGAAGCCGCCGCCGCCACCCGAGCTGCCGCCAGAGTTCAAATATCTTAACTTTTAGCTGCTCGACGCGTCTCCCACTGAAAACCGAAACAGACAGACTGGAGATCTTTACCTGAAGTCGACCGTGTGCAGTTGGATTTTCTGGCAGGATATATCAGATGCTCTGGACCAAAAAAAAAAAAACGTCCGTCAGCTGGCAGCTTCTGACGAAACTAACCGAACAAATCACCTCTAATCATCTGGTTAGTTAATTATCTGCTGTGCGCAACGTTCGCTTGCTCTTTAGTAAATAAATCAAATCCATTTTCTTTTATTTTATCTTTATTCACCCGCCAACGACACGCTCCTCCCACACCCCGCTGCTGCTGCTTGTTCTGGTCTGAATACTAGTGCGTTCTTCGGTCTGAAAATAGTGCATCCAACGAGAGACGTTTTGTGCTTTTTGGCCGCTCAAAACGCGTTTGGTGTGAACGTAGCATAAGGCTGAGTTCACCTAAAACGCCTCAGACTGAAGAAGTCTATTGGAGGAGAGACTAAATATTCATTAAAGAAGAACCCGTCCAGAGGACATACTTATTTTTTTCTTTTTGGTGTACAGCAATAGTAAATCCAGATTAGCCCTGCAACTTCTACAGTAGATCACAAAACTCACTCCAGTTGTTATATAGACTTCTATGTTTCTTATCAATTTTAAACCAGGGGTGCCCAAACCTGATCTTCTTTCCTGCATGTTTTACTAGGCTTCTCTTCTCCAGCACACCTGATTTGAATGATGGGTAATTAGCAGGCCTCTGCAGAAACTGAAGAAGTAATAAAATCACTAAATCAGGTGTGTTGGAGCAGGGAAACAAGTAAAACAGACAGGATAGAGGCCCTGGAGGACCAGGATTGGACACTCCTGTTTTAAATAATTTTGTCTTCTATTGTATCATGAATCAACATGATCTCAGGTTGAATTGTTGTACATTTGTCCCCCCCCCCAACAGATCAATAATCCATTATAACTGTTTTGAGGAGCTACAGTAGAGAAGTTTAGTTCAGTTCAGTACAGATGTAGAGCGCATGTGTGGAGTTACAGCTGGGAAAAGAAGCGTTACACCTTTCAAATGATTTCCGTGATCAGAGACAAAAATTTGACCCATGGCTTTTCTGCAATATCTTTGTAGTATTCACTGGCACCTGGTTTTACTGTATTTAAATATTACTCTGTATTCCAAATATACCCTTATTTGTGTATCCAAATATCCACACTGAGAGTGGATGCTTGGTCTGATAAAAAGATGGAGAGAGTGATCTTGTTTAAAATGACAAAGCAAAAAACTCTGCTGGTGTTTTGTAAAGACAGATACCAACAAAGCATAGCAGAAGTGCAAAACAAAACTAATCAGCCCGTGAGAAAGATAGTTTCACGTTGATTGTGTTGCTACAATTATTTGTTTTTAACATAAACTTTTTCAATGATTCTATGTAATAAATGACAACCGGAGTTTATTTTATTTAGTTTATGTAAAATGTTCACATTATTTTTGAGAACAATTGTTTTTTTAAGAAGAGTTATTCAGACACTGTATTCTTGTTTTCTTTCAGCACCTATTTTTCTTTATTAATGGAAATGTCTGTGTTGGCATTTCTTATCATATGGTTTTGGTTTGATGTGTTCATGTGGCTATATTTTATTTATCTTTTTAAGTTTAATATATTTTATTTTAATATGATACTCCTTTGTGTCATTTACCTTGACAGTGTTGCAGCAGGAATAATACTCTGTGTGTGTGTGTGTGTGTGTGTGTGTGTGTGTGTGTGTGTGTGTGTGTGTGTGTGTGTGTGTGTGTGTGTGTGTGTGTGTGGTGGGGGCCACCAGGGGTTACATATTCTCTGTAGAAAACTAATTTCATAGGGTTTAAGGTTGCAATTTGCATTGAAGTGACTTTGACTCTTCTCCCTCATTCATTTACCTTGGAGTACTGTTGGAGGACTGTTGTGCTTACAGTCCTTCTTACATTTATTTACTTTTGCAAAATATTGTTTGCAAGCGTGTTTTCTATAACTGTGTTTCAAGCTTTTTAACTCTAAATGAATTTATTATTTTGTTTATTTAACATCAAAGTAATTGGGGCATGTCATGAAGTTGATGTGAAGTTCATGTTGATGTGAAGTTGTATTTTTGTCCATTTAGTAAACTGGTTTATTTAGTACATAATTTGTTGTATTATTAGTATACTTCATAGCCACTTGTAACAATGTGCTAGTAAAAAAAAGTCTATTATTTAAAAAGGTTTTTACTGAGAAAATATGGTTTTATGAAAGAAAAAATGAACCAAGAACATGTAAGCAGAGCTCAAGATGCCAGCAAAGATAAGTGTTTCAACCCAACTTCCTGCAAACAGGAAGTCATTTGCTTCCCTGTCTCATACTCACAGTCCATTAAACTCCAGTGTTTCTTTACACTATGACTGGTAAAAGATTTATGCACAGAGCCAAGCGCAGTGAGCAATATTAACAGGCTAAAGATGAAAAAAGACACTTTGATAGCTTTGATGACTGTGTGCACACACAAACCATTTCCCAAACTATAAAAATCAGAAGAGTCCAGTGCACAATGAATTACTGCCCTTGTTGACAAAATGCAATAAAAATCCAAAGGCTTTTTCACAGATGATAACCAAAAGCATTAAGGGCTTGTTTTTTTCATAAAACAATCTGGGTGATCTGTGATCATTAAGTATTCAAAATATGCATGCTGCTCAGGATAAATACTTTAAAAATAGAATTTTTCTCAATGACTTTAATCATTATTTATAGGAATACGTATAAAGTCTTAAGAAACTCTAGACAAAGGCAAGAAACAAAACAGCAACTTGCTGAATTTTCTTCAGACAAATAGAAAAGATCTGTTCCTCATTGAAAATCAAACTTTGAATCAGTTCCTTTGACAAAATTAGAGTAAAAGACAAAAAAAACACATTAAGCTCTATTATTGCTGATTGCGATCATTAACCTTTTGTTTTTTTCCCTCTCTTTTTTTGGGTTTCTGTAGGATCCCAGAACGAAACATAAGTTCAAGATCCACACCTACGGGAGCCCGACGTTCTGCGATCACTGTGGCTCTCTGCTGTATGGGCTCATTCACCAGGGCATGAAGTGTGACTGTGAGTAAAACAGTTTTGTTGTAAAAGGGATTTTAAGTGGCATGACATCCAATAACTCAGTATTAAAAAACATATTTTAGTACAAATATGATGTCAGTTTCTTTGAGTCATGTTTTTATAACAGAGGAAAGCAAGACAAAAGTGGCCATTGAAGCTGTAAACCAGGGGTGTCAAACTCATTTTCACTGAGGGCCACATGAGCGTTATGGTGACTCTCGAAGGGCCAGTTCTAATTAACTTTGACGTTTCATATTTAGCTTTGAATAAACAGTGTTTTAACACGTCCTCTTTTAAACACTGAAAAAAACTAAGAGTACGACTGACTAAATCTGACATAAATAATAAGAGTAAATTAAGAGTAAAACTAATAGAGTTTTACTCACTGTTGAGTTTCTAGTGAGTGGCTGCCATCTTGAATTCTTAACTCCCACTTTCTGACAGGGGATCCCCATGGATGATCGACATGCATTATGGGAGATGTAGTTTATGGTCAATGCTGACTTTAAAGCAGCTTATTTTGAGACATTAATACTGTGCTATCCAACTAAATTGCTCAGCTACTTAAAGCCAACAGCTCAGGGGCATGGCAATTATTATTTATCTCTCACCTGTATACAATATATACAGT